GCCCTGATCAAGGCCGCCATCATGTCTCCTCGTCTGTCACTAGGCTTCCTGACTGGCCTCTTGCTTCTAGTTTTGTCCCACGTGAGCCAATGCAAAACCCTGCAAGGGCTTCTCATCTCAAAATAACCTCCAAGTTTTCATGGTAGGTCCAGTTGCTTGTCCAACTCTGTACCACTTTCTAGCCAGTCCCCGGTGTGTCAGGCAGGGTGTCTCCTCAGGACCTCTGACCTTGCCTGCAATGTTCCTTTCCCAGACAGTGATATGAGGCAAAACCCTGTGGCTATAGAAATAGCCATTCTTGTATCTATCTCAAATCCTTTATCGTTATGGGATTTTATATCACATGCCTATTTGTATGTTTAGGATTGAACTTTCCCACCAGAATGTTAGTTGGCTTGAATGTTGGTTAGCAGTGCAGAGTACCCAGGGGCTGGAAGAGTGCCTGGTGCATAGCAGTGTTTCATAATGAGTGAGGGGCTTGGAGGTGGCAGGAGAGGCGAACCCGAATCACAAGATTCCTTTGTTAAGCACTGAACTATCATAGAACTTTGAAGATAGCGGAACTCAAGGCTGCCTTGAAAACAGTCCTGTCCTGAAGACCACATTGGCCGAAACTTTTCTCATAAACTCTTAATTAAATACTTTCCCGAAATAGAATTGCTGGATATTAGTTCCCTAAACACCTCTCCTAGGAAGTCCTCCCTCTCCCTTGCAGGAAGAGCTAAAAGCGCAGCATCCTCTGGGCTCCCACTGCCCCTGATTCACCCAACCATGCTGCGGCGACCTGGGGATGCACCCTCTTCCCTCAAGAGTGTGATGGCGGCCAGGGCTGTGACTTATTGTCAGTTCATTCCCGGCTCCTGTGAGCTGGTACATGGAAGGCTTGGACGAAAGCACACACTAGGTAGGCCTCTTAAGGCAAGGGCCCTCGCAGGAACAATGTGGGGCTCCAGGGCAGGCAACTTTGTTGCTCCCGCCGAAGGTGGTGATATTGACAAGATGCGGGTACCGGGAAACACTTCTTGGGACACGCTGGTGAAGAACTGGTCAACAACTCCGGAGGGCGACGCCAACAGGCGTCCAGAGCCTAGGCCTCCACTTGCCCCAGCATCCTCAAGGACCCATTAATCCCTAACATTCAAATGCCGCCCACTAAACCAGCCCAGCGGCGCCCAAGCCGCCTCTTTTCCCCAAGTGACGGCCGACCGCAGCCAATCGCTGGTCCTCGGCGGGGTCCGCCCCCTTTTCCCGGGTCGGAATCGACACGCACTCCCGCCAATGGGCGGTGTCGCCGCTGAGGCTCCGCCCCACTCCGCCCGCTCCAGCCAATTGTGAGCAGAATACCGCCGCCCCCAGGGGCGGGGCGCGGGCGCGCAGGTGCAGCTGCACGCAGGAGGCCTGGAGGGCGGGGCGCGACGTCGGCCGTGCGGGGTCCCGGCGTCGGCGGCGCGCGCGCTCCCTCCTCTCAGAGAGAGGGCTGTGGTAAAAGCCGTCCGGAAAATGGCCGCCGCCGCCGCCGCCGCGCCGAGCGGAGGAGGAGGAGGAGGCGAGGAGGAGAGAC